ATGACACGTTTTCATCATGCAGAATGGTTTGCAGAACCATCAAGAAAGAACACCAGCACCTCGATGGCACTGTAGTCCCTGGGCAGGGTCCAACTCACTCAAGCCAGCCCTGCAGCCATCACAGATGACAACTAGGTTCAAGTGCCAATCTACACAGAGAAACTTCTGTAAACAGCCACTCTACCCTGTCAGCTCGGATCCTCAAGGCAGCTTATAGGACAAGGCTGGCCTGGTCTGAGGACTGGCCAAGTGGCCAGTGTCCAAGTCCAAGGAGCCGGAGCTGGGACCGGGATGCCTGCCAAAGGCAGCATACAAGACTGAGAGCCAGGGTCAGCCTGTCACAGCCCACTAGGAAAAACCTGGGTTCCAGTACAAACAGAAGCCAGAGGGCCAGGGTCCAAGCCAAGGCCAAAGTGTAGGAGCCAGGAGCTCATAGTAAATAGGCCAGAAATAAGCACTGGGATGGTGGACTGAGTGATGAATAGAATAAGCAATCAGGGCTGGCACTGGGTTTTGAGGGCAATGGGGCAGGCCTGATAGGATAGTCTGGCATTGACCAGCAGTGGAGGTTGATGTTCACAGCCTTTTGGTTCAGTCTCTGCCCAGCTTCTTTTCCGCAGCACAACATTGCTTCCCAGGAAGGCTGTCCCTTTGCTGAGAACTTCATGAGAAAAACAACACTCTCCCATTCTCAAGGGCCTTCCAAGGGGAGTTGATCATAGAGGTCTGGAGAAGTAGTAACAGGGGTTGGGGCATTTGCCTTGCCTCAACTACCCAGGTTCAGTCTCCAACACGTCAGAGTCCCCCAGGCACCTGCTGGGAGAAGCTCATTCCCAAGCACAGAGCCAGAAGTAGGCCCTGGGCACTGCCAAATGTGGCCCTCAAATCTAAAACCAAAAGTAAGCTGGCCTTTGAAACTTATTACATTGTATATCTAATCATCTACCAAGTATTCCTCTAAATACACAATTAAAAACCACTCTAAGCTGAGACTACCTAAAATTCATATTGAAATAATACTTCCAAAGCCATCAAGCTTCTGCCAGTTCCTCAAGCTTATTTGATATTGGGCTCCCTAAGAAAATAAGGCATGATTTAGATCAGCAGTTCTCAAAATTTATAGTCTCTGGAGTCCTTTACACTCTTTAAAAGAGTCATGAATTCCGAATTCCAAAGGACCTTAGTTTATGTGAGTTATATCTATCCATTTATCATACTAGTAATTAAAACTGAGAATTTATAAAATATTTATCATTTAAAAATAATAAACTCACTACAAGCTAAAATTAATAATTCTTATTAAAAATCACCTTAATTTCCAAAACAAAAGTTAGTGAAAATAAAAGGTTTTTTACTATGTATTCTGCAAATTGTTTGGGAAACTGATTCAATAAGAGACAACTGGGACTGGAAATATAATACAGAGGTTAAGGCACTTGCTTTGATGTGGCCGACCCTAGTTTAATCCAACATCATATATGATCCCCTAAGCAACACAAGGGGTCACCTCTAAGTATAGATCCAGGAATAAGCCCCGAGTATCAGCCAGGTATGTGCACCCCCCCCCCAGTCCCCCAGAAACAAAACCAATTAAGAGACAACTGCGGGGTTGGGGCAATAGCACAGCGGGTAGGGCATTTGCCTTGCAAAAGGCCAATCCGGGTTCAATTCCCAGCGTCCCATATATGGTCCACCGAGCACTGACAGGAGTAACTCCTGAGTGCACGAGTCAGGAGTAACCCCTGTGCATCGCTGGGTGTGACCCCCCCCCCAAAAAAAAAGAAACAGAGAAAAAAACAACTGAGCTCTCCTAGCTGCTTCTGCACTATTTGTGGTACTCTTGTTCTGGTCCAAGGATAAGGTGACAATCTGTCGTCAAGGTCACAGAGGTGTAACAACAACTCTATTCAGGTAGGACTGGAAAGAGTCATAGGGAGTCTAGGGACCTTCAGATCTTCCTCTGAGAAGGAAGATTCTAGCCAGTTTCCTGCCCAAGTGAACAGTGCGCAGAAGGTTGAACAGAAATCAAGACAAGAGGTGTTTGGGACGAACACCCAGAGATCCACCCCCAGTACTCCGACCCCAGGGTCAGGAATGGAAATGCCAGGGTGGTACCTATGTATGAGCTAGTCTCCAGTGCTAAATGAGAACAAAGATGGGAAGACAGTCTGGGCTACTCAGAGATCTGCAAGGCAATGCAGTTCTCAGGTGGATTCACCCTGTATCACCAGGAATTCTGACACTGGCCTGAACTGCAGCCTAGACAGCAGAATCTGAAAGCCCCCACCCCCAGCAGACCTGAATGGGCTGCCTGAGGGGCAAGGCCACAAGATCAGAGTCAGAAAGAAAACCCAAGATTTGAATCTCTACTACACTCACCAACTCTACAACTTACTGGTTGGAAACCTGCCCACAGGCTTATCACTCTGCTCCCGTTTACACATCTACAAACAAGGCAACTTGGAATGTTGAGAGCTGGGACAAGTATAAAACAGGCACTCGGTGCACTTGTGCTGAGCCAGACCATCTAGTTCGTTGCACTGCTAGGGTCAAAGGTCTCTGAGCAGCTGCCATGTCTGTACGGCACACCCCCTCAAGGAAGGGGCCAAGATTCTCATCCCAGCTCTTCTACAGGGAGGGGCTAAAGCTGGGCCTCTGTTTCCTTATCTGGAAATACAGGAAGTCAGCAGGAAGCAGGAAGCTCCAGTTTGAAAGGGAAGCTCCAGCTTGAGGGGCTGTGGTGTCACAGGAAACAGGTGGGACAGAGTTGACACAGGTGCAATGGTGATGTACATGTGTGTGAACATATGAGTGTGTGTGTGAGTGTGTGTCAGTGGGTGAATGTGAGCATGTGAGAGTGTATTTATGAGTGTGTGAATGTAGGCATGTGTATGTGTGAGAATGGGAGGGTGTATAAGTGAGTGTGTGAATGTACGAGCTCATGTGCAAGGGTGTGTGACAGTGTAAGTGGGAGTAGGTGCCTGTATGAGTGTATGTGAGTGTGAGTGTGTATATGAATGCATGAGTGTGAGTGTGCATGTGGGTGTATGAATGTCAGCCTACGAGTGAGTTTTAGTTTGTGTATGTGTCTCAAAACACATGTGTGTGAGCATCTATGTGAATGTGAGTGTGTGAGAGTGTTAGCACGTATATGTGTATGTGAATGCATGAGTGTGTGTATCTGTGCACACACGCATGTGTGTGTGTGTTTTGTGTGTACAACTGTAGTCAAATTCTGAGATCCTTTTCCTTTAGAAAACGATTGGAACATCTCAAATCTGTTACAGATGGCAGAGGGGAAAACACCGAGTGGAAATATTTTAATGGCTTATTCTTGGCATGTGGAGTGTCCATGGAGATCCAGATTAAAGGTGGCTCACCCTGATTCGTCCTTGAAAGCTTTATCATTGCCATGTCACAACACATTCTGCTCAGAGTGCCTCAGACCCATCACAAAAGTGAACAGTAACACAAAACAAGGTCATGGGGAGGGAGGGTTGCCTGGAACATTCTCCCAATAAGCAGAATGGCCATGACTCAATATTTTTATTCGGAGGCCAGTGAATCATGTAACATTTCTTCTAGAGTTACTGGTCGTAGACCGCTGCTGCAGCTGTTTACCCGGTGGCTTTGGAGCTGCACACAGATGTGCGTGAGCCTCAGACGAGCCGCTGGACCAACCACCCATCTGCCCCATCTCTTTGGGGCTCACTGCAAGAAACACCCGAGCAACTGAGCTAACCCCAGGAATAAACCAAGGGGCCATCCAGGGCCGAGCTTGGGCCTAGGGGAAGCATGAGCACCCGGGCTAGGACTGCCAGAGTGTCCCGGCAAGGACCACAGCCCCAAGGTCATCAGGTCAGGTGCAGTGAGATTATAGAGGCTAATCCTTCCAGTGAGCTGGGCTGTGAATGCTTAGCAAACCCTGTGCAGGTGCACTGGATCTGAATCTAGGCCCAGAGTTAAGTCCCGGACACACTGATGGAGGGCACAGGAGGCTGCCTGGACTCAGGGTACAACTTCCACAGCCCTGGGCCTCGGAAGCCAAGAATCTGCTGGGAACTGAGAAGCTCGGGTTTTTTGTGGTATGTTCTTTCTGGATCAGCGAAGTCTCAGTTCTCAATACATATTCCCTGGAAAGGCGGTTCACAAGCTTGTTCAACGCCCTTGGCCACAGGGCTTGGAATGCTATGATTTTTCAGACTGGCCTACTTGCCACTGTCTCGGGTGGTGGTTCTCCTTCGAAGCCTCCTCATCCAGGTGTGACCAGATCCCCTGTCCTCAGGGAGATGGCATCAGGGCCTCTGCATATCCAGAGCCCAGAATACTGTCCTGATCAGAAGATGCTGGGTTGTTCTTGCTTCATCTCTGCTCTACAAAAAATCCCCAGCTCCGCTGAATGGCAAAGACCCTGAACCAGTTTGGCTTCCTTCCATGACCCCTGCACCACAGCATCTCCTAAGCACTGGCTGTGTCCAGTTCAGATCCTTTCTACCCTGATGAGCCTCAGAGTGGGGCTTGAGGAATTTTCCAGATGACCTTGTCTTTTCCAGATGAAGAGCACAAAGGAAGCCATGAAGCAGACTGAAGGAAACGGAAGTAGATGTAAACTGGGCTAAGAGATCTAGTTCCTAATTCCTGTCTCTCTCAAAGGAATCCTCAAATCCCACGTTCTTTCTTTGCTCCTTCTTTTGCAGAAAGCTAAGTTGAATACAATAATGGAGCTGAATCCCAAATGACAATATCTTAGACCATCAAGACTCACAAACTCTGTCTGGGCGGGTATAACATGCTTTAAAGGTCTGTAAAGTGAGTTGTTTATATTTCTCCCATACTTGAATCTTATGCCTAAAATTATATTTATTTTGTGAACAATCGTTTCTTTCACTGATTTCCTATTCCTGGGCTTGTGCATTTAAGAGAACAGTCTCCATACTCACACTCACACACAAACTCCCACTCACAAGCATCACATGAAGAAAATGAACAATGAAACTCACCTGTTCCTGAACTGCACGCTTCAGCAGGGGTAAACCCATGGTAAATTTCGTTCTCTGAAATGTCAAAGCTCTCATTTCATCCAGACTTAGATCATACCTGTGACAAAAAAGATGGCAGATAAGCCATTAAGTCATTGAATTGCTGGGGTCTGAGCTGAACCTTTGAGATGCTTTGCCCAAGGGTGTGACAAAACCCACATTCTGGGGGCTGGAGCGATAGCACAATGGGTAGGGCATTTGCTTTGCATGTGGCCGACCCAGGTTCGATTCCCAGCATCTCATATAGTCCCCCGAGCACCACCAGGAGTAATTCCTGAGTTCATGAGCCTGTGCATCTCTGGGTGTGACCCAAAAAGAAAAAAATAAATTAAATTAAATTAAAAACCCACATCTTTGCTGCATTTCACTGTACTCTTGATACACGCTGTGAACTCAAGTAGGCCACTGCAGTATATAACTAAACCATATGATAAAGGAGCACTAAAATGGAATGTCATGAGAAAATATCATACACAAGACCACCGTCTCCTTGAAACTTCTAAAGACATTCCCATGTATGAGTCCACAGCAGCATGTTGGTTGCTAATGGAGAAGAGAGTCACCTTAGAGGGGAAGAGGCTGACTTCAGTGGCCAGGAGCCTGTCCTTTAGAGTCCTTCCAGGGACACCCCCCCCCTTTAGGGAGCTGAGTTTCTAAACAGTCTTTCACTCCATTCCCTTGGAAAGCACCGGAGTTCAGCCTATGCCCCTTTTCACCAGTTGGGGCTGTTGCTAATGAAAAGGGGTCAAGAACAAGGCAAGTTTCCTGGCCATGTAACTCACTTTGACATTAAGGTACCAGTAAACTGGAGTGGTAGAACACATGCCTAGCACGTGTGAGACCCAGAGCTGGATCCCTGCACTGTATATCCCCCATAAGCACTACCAATAAATCCCTGGTAACTCTCAAGTACAAGTAGCCCCAGGCCCAAACATCACTAGGAATGACCACAGGTTCCATGAGCCAACCCTTGGGCTGGCACCTACTAAAAAGACATATTGGGGAACGGGAGAGATAGTACAATGCGTAGGACATTTGCCTTGCACACAGCCAACCTGGGTTAATTCCTGTCACCCATGGGAGTGATCCCTGGGCATCACCAGAAGTGATCCCTGAATACAGAGCCAAAACTAAGCACAAGACACTGCCAGGTGTGATCCCAAAACCAAAAAAGAAACATGCTGATAGACAAGAGGCATGGAGGCTATGCATGTACTTCCCTTCCTCTCCTGCTCCCCTGCCATTCTCCTGTTAATATGCCCAAGCTAGCCCATGAACAGGCCTAGGCTAGCTCCCTGGGGGTATACCGTAAGGAATGCAGAGGAGGGCTCACAGTGTCTGATAAAATCATTCCTAACATGTCAAAGAGCCCAGTCAGGATCAGATGAGCTACCTGGGCACCCCACTGCTCACCAGATTTGTGAGCAAAGCCAGCAAAGACCCAGGCCTCTCCATCATCCATGGACTCTTCATCAATAATAACCAACCATTATTTGCAGTCACTAAGTTCTGCATCATAACTAATTGATCCAACATGACTGCATACCCAGAAGCCCCCAAGAATAAATAATAGGAGTTGGCAGGATCTTCAATGAGTAGGAAAAATAAATCAAGAGTCTTCATCAGATACACAAATCATCAGAAAACATATGAAAGAAAATATCCCATTGCATGGCAATAAAGCCAATAAAAGCAAATAAAAGTATGATCAAAACACTTGCAAATGGAGATAACTTACACTGACAATATTAAAACACTCCTGAAGGACACAGAAGAACAGTTGAACAAAGAGAAATATGGGACATACTTTAAATAGGAGATCATATCATAAATCAATTCTGAGTTTATAGGATCTAAATAGGATTTGAATCATTAATCCAGTTGTTGGTTTTCTGATGGGAATTGATCCACAGTAAATAAGGTTGAGAACCACTGATCTAAATTAAAATGCTGGGGCCAAAGGGATAGCACAGAGGTTAGGGCTTTTGCCCTGCTTGCAACCAACCTGGGTTTGATAGCTGGCACTCCATATGATACCCCGACACCACCAGAAGTGATTCCTGGGTGCAGAACCAGATGTAACCCCTGAACATTGCCAGATGTGCCCCCAAAACAAAACAAACAACCAAATAAAAGCTATGTTGTAAGGCTGAAGTGATAGTACAGCAGGTGGGGTGTTTGCCTGGCACACAGCTGACCTGGGTTCAATCCTCGGCATTCCATATGGTTTCCTGAGGCTATCAGGAGGATCCCTGAGCACTGCTTTATGTGTGCTCAGAAAAAAAAATTAATGCTGTTATTTTTGTTCATGATCCATTTGCTCCTCCCCTCTGTTGATGTGATGGTTATGACAGCTCTCTCATGTGTATGTGGTCCTGTGCTCACCCATTTAGCTTTGGTGTTCTCCAGGGCACACTATCCCTTAGCTGTGACACTCTGGCACATTCTGGCTGATGGGGCTTCTGGGAGTTGCTACTGTATTAACACAGGGCTCTCAGAGGCCTGACTCCTGATCCCAGTGCTTGGACATACTTTTGTTGGTTTTGTTTGTTTGCTTGTTTGTTTGTTTGTTTTTTAGTTAAAGTGCCCACTGCAGGGATTGCACCCTTTAGTTTTAATCCTTGAAAATACTCAGCTGAAGAGTAACTAAAATTGTTTGCTGTGCCAGGATGGCAGAGGCAAGAGCTACTAGGAACACACAGGTGGTATGAGGTGGCATGAGGACCAAATCTACACAAACAGGCACTGGAGACACCAAGCCATTTCCTGACCCCGTCACCCATTTTTTTTCCTATTATCATTTTAAAATGGATTTAAGAATTCACACATCAGGAGCTGCAGCAATAGCACAGCAGGTAGGGTTCTTGCACATAGCCAATCTGGGTTTAATCCCTGACCTCCTCATGTGTTCCCCAAGCCCATCAGGAGTAATCTCTAAACACCAATGGATGTGGCCACAAAACAAAACAAAAAAGCATTCACATATAAAAGTAGCACTGTAGTGCTGTCCTCCCATTGTTCATCGATTTGCTCAAGCGGGCCCAGTAACGTCGCCATTGTGAGACTTGTTGTTACTGTGTTTGGCATATAGAATACATCAAGGGTAGCTTGCCAGGCTTTGCCGTGTGGGCGAGATACTCTCGGTAGTTTTGCCAGGCTCTCCAAGAGGTGGTGAGGAATCGAACTCGGGTCAGCCTTGTCAGCCGCGTGCGAGGCAAACGCCTTACCCAGTGTGCTATCACTCCAGCCACATATAAAAGTAGACAAAAATATCCACAAAAAAAATGTAAGAATGAGAGACTGAACAGATAATACAGGGTATTAAGATACTTGCCTTGCACAAAGCTAACCTGAGCCCTACCAGGAGTGATCCCTGATCACCAATAGGTATAGTCCAAACCCCCTCCCCCCATCTAAAAATTAAGATCTATCATCTCTGTCACATAATAAGATATGGTCTTGAACTGGTGAAAACAGGCAGAGAAACCAGTGGAATGAAATGGAATGGCAGGCAACAGGATTAAATAATCACAGAAATTTCATATATGCAAGACAAAAGTGGAATATCAAGTCATTGGGAAAACAAAGAAGTATGATCTACTAATCTACTTGAAATTTATTCTGGTACATAATATGAGATAGGAATTCAACTCTATTTTTTCCATTTGGCTACCCAGATAGAACTTCTCAAGGCTTTGTTTGATGGGAAAACAAAGCCACAAAGTACTAAACATGAAAACATCCTTTAATAATCCTAATGGGAAAAAAATCCTCCTATTTGTGATATGTTTGGAAGTCACAAAGAAAACATTTATAAATTTAACTACATAAAAACGTTGCATGACCAAAACAACATAAGAACAGTCAAGTACAAGTGACAAATCAGACCAAAATATTTTGTTGCTGATATAATTAGAAAGGGGCCGGCCATCTCCCTAATTTAAAAATCCTCTGATTCATTAAAAAACAGAGCTACCATGGGGAAATGATTTGAGTAGATGGTCCACATAAAAAAATATATAAACTACAGTTAAAACTTATTTTTATACCCCAGATATCATGTGCTATGAAGAAGAGAAGCACAAATTGAAATGACAGTGAAATGCCAGTTTTTGGGTTGTTTCTGGGTCCCTCCCAATGGTGCTCCATTGGCTTCCAGGCTCCTGACTCGCAATTGCTCCTGGCAGTGCAAGAGGACCATGTGCTGTTGATGATAGAACTGACTCCAACAATATCAAGCATGTGCCCCAGCTCTTCCAGCCCTGCAATGCCAAGTTCCACCTACAGCAACAATAAAACCCAGACCAGCTAACAGAACACTAAGTTTCAGTCTTCTGAGGCATAGACCATCTCCTGCACTGACCTGAGCAGGATGGAAGACAGAAGCCTTGAGCTGGCACAATCTATGCATGCGGCAGTTTGACAATTCCTATCAAAATTTAAAATGAGCTGCCTTTCACGTCTCAGCAGTTCCACATCTAGAAACAAACTTTTATAAAGGGAGCAGGGAACTTGGGGCCTCACCCAGCATGGCTCAGGGATCACTCCCTAAGGGGCATCAGGGAATCAAGTCTGGTCAGTCACTTGTTAAGCAAGAGTTTTCCCCTTTGTACGCTCTCTCCAGCTCCCCCCAAAAATCTTATGTTATCTTCTGACAAACTACAGAATTTAAAGAAAAATGTGAAGCAAGAAAAGTCTCCCAAGGGCCTGGGTCCCTCTCTGTGCATGCGCAGCTAGAACCAGCCCCTAGAAAGCCGGTTTTCAACCCCTGATCTGCGTGGGACGGGCACAGAGGCCCAGCTCTGGGCAACAAAGCTGAACGGCTCCAATTCCAACAGGTACAGCCCGCCCCCAAGGGCCTGGGTCCCTCTCTGTGCATGCGCAGCTAGAACCAGCCCCTAGAAAGCCGGTTTTCAACCCCTGATCTGCGTGGGACGGGCACAGAGGCCCAGCTCTGGGCAACAAAGCTGAACGGCTCCAATTCCAAACAGGAGACGTTCCCAACTCCTCGCCCAGTGCCAGGGACTCTTTCCGGAGCCGCGGCCGCTGACGCAGCCG